AAATATTATATTATATTAAACTTTAGTGCTGTCAGAAGTTACTTACTGACTTGGAGTTGGTTGAAACCAAGCTGTTGAGAGTACTGAAACCAATCTTGATATTAGACCTTCGTTTTTGTTCTGAAATGTGCTTCATTCTTCGATTCTGCGTAAATAAAATCAGCTCAGTCTATGCTGTTCTCCTTTAATGTTCTACTGCTATGACTATTTCAGCTATTCAAATTCACTGTGTAATTTCTAGTGAATTGTGGCATTCACAGTCTTCCCAAAGCCAGCTTTGCAAAAGTTATTTATTAAGTAACTTAAATATTAACTTAAACATTAAAGGTATTTTAAGTGATTTAAGTTATAAGAAGTGCCCAGTGTATTAAATTCCATTCCAAATCTTGTAGGTTTTCTTTCTAAAGTACGAATTCCTATCTGAGACTGCTAAATGATTTAATTTTTTGAAGTCAAACTCCAGTTTTGGAGGCATGCAATTACTTAGGGTCTTGTCGAAATCTTTAAGTTTAAAACTGTCCATATCATTTACTCCTAATACATACACATGATGTAACAGGCAGTCTGACAAAAATGAAAAAGAAAAAGAATCCACAACTCTGGCCTACCCTGAAGAGAAAGGCTTTGTCAGAAATTAGTGTTTTCATTTGTAGCATTAAAAACTTACAAGTTGTTTCCATCAAAGGAGTCTGCGCTTTGAGGATGCATTTTTGGCAGAGCCAGGCGTCCTGGCAGTAGCTCACCATCACCCCATTTTATACTGGGGGAAAACAATGTAATAAAGTAGTAAAGTGGCTAACTAAAACCACAGAAAATGCAGGTTCAAGAGCAGAACTGAGATTTCCAGTGCCCTTTATGCTTTACCAAACTGAAAAAACAATGTTACCCAGCAATAGAGAGCTGTTTAGTCTCACCAACAATGCAGAGGAGCAAAAGAACATACCTCTGGAGACTGGCAAGCATCATTGCTTCTCTCTTGTCTCACCAAAGTCACTAACAGTACACATCCAAAGCAATTCCTGTCTAAGCAGATCAGTTTACATGGCTATAAAGCCCATCTCGTTGCAGTGTCCCTACTTTTAACAACACTCCTCCATCTAGTGGCCACTTTCCCATCGTCTGCAAGTCCTAATAATTTGCTCCCTTGCTAACTTGCTCTCTGGCAATAAGAGCAGGCTGCAACCGCTCATAATGCTGATGTTAGGCTGATTACACAGACTGAGATGCTGACAATTTAGGCCAAGCAAATAACTGCAAACTTCTGTCAGTAACTTGCAGTATGCTCAGCAAGGGGCAGTTCTGATCCTCCTCTGCAACAGAACTAGAGTTGAGTGCAATCACAGATTGAGAGTGTTTAAACTTACCTTTCAAGTAAATCAAGCTGACAGCAACTCAGAGGGTATACAGAGAAGCCAAAAAGGGGTTGGCACTTACAAAATGGTTAAGTAACATTCCCTTTCACAAGAGAAGGAATGAGAGGGTTACAGCTGATTGTCCTGCATTGGCTGGTTTCTGTGGGTAAGTTTGTCCTACCATCACAGAAAGTGTTGTGACAAGCTCAGCCCATGTGTGAGGTACAGCCAGCTTTCAGATGCCATCTCTAGACTGCCCAGTTCTTACCCCAGCAATTCTCAAAGTGTTTTACAGCTGTAACTTGTGGAGTCTGTGGAGCTGCTTCTCTGTGGAGCAGCACAGCATCACTGGAGACATGTAATTAACTCAGCAGGTCAAGAACTCCCCCTCCAGCGATGGCCAGAGCCCTGAAGACCCCCGAAGACCCCCAACAGAACAATGGCAAAAAGCCATGGTTTAGAAAACTACGCCTGAAACTTCTGACCAAGTAAACTGAGACCTGTCATAACACTCCTGTGAGCCACAGCAGGAACTGCTGTCACAACCATAAGGACCTGCAGAGGTAGAGTTAAGCCTGGGCCCTCTAGTGACACTTCCCTGAGGAGCAGAGTCAATCACTGAAGTTTGGCATTTTAAACTGAACAGAACAGCACGGATGCAGCCCAAGCTATGCCTAAAGCACAAACACTTCACTGTTCCTGAAGCACAACTTACTCTCTAGTCCACACTCAGACTTCAGGGCAGAAAAGTAGCTGCAAAGGCAAAGAAGAAAAGCACCTCAAAGAAAAGACACGCACCTTAAATGCAGCCATATTAGGGTTGGTGGCAGGTTTTCCTGAGCAGTTGTTCTGGGGAGACTGTGGACTGGGGCTCTGCTCAGAGGTGCAGGGGGAGGCTTGGCCTGAATTCTGACAGTCTCGGCCTTCAGAAGGGAAGAAAGACAAGTCACATCAACAGACAACTTTCTGTAGCAAATGGAACTGTTGAGAAGTTTCTAGTCAGAATTGAACTGAAATACAGTTGGCAACAAAATTATACTCACTGATGCAGCAAACACATGCTAGAAAATGTCAAGATTGCTGGGAAAGCTTAGTACTCCATGGCACAAGGATAATACATCCCAATAGCTGGGTGTAATACTCCCTTCACACACACATGCTTCAGCAAAGGTATGTTGAACACAAAGGCTGCAATTCCATCATCCTGCTAGACTCCTCCGTTTGAGGCCTTAGTGGCCTGGGACATGATGGTAACACCTACAAGCCCTTTACCAGCAAAACCAGCATATATCTCTCAAATCAGCCCAGATATTGCCCTATCAACAGGCATGCAGGAGTCTCTGCACTTACCTACTGTTAACAAGGATTATGTCTCAGATCCTCTGAAGTTATAGTTATGGTACAAGGCCCATTTACACTCTGCCTGCTCTGTGGAAACACACTTACTTGTGTAGGGGAGAGAGAACGCTTACAGCTTTCTAACTTACTAGATGTAGGTGAGGGAACTTGTGAACTGCTACTGTGGGAAGGGATTTGCTCTCCTTTCACCAACGCATCCTGGACTACACTAGGAGAGAAGAGATGTGAGACTGTGGACTGGGTTTGTTGACTACTTGGTGCTCGCTGTGCTGGACCAACCAGAATGTTACTACGGAACTCCGTCACCCCGGGAGCCTGGGAACAGCACAGAAATAGCACAGAGAAAAACAGAAAGAACAAGAGAGCAGGAAGGGGGAGGGTGTGGGCAGAGGGAGAGAAGGGATGAGAGAAAGGAGAAAGAGGGGGAGAGAGAAAGAGAGAGATTTGTTACCTTGCCTTTCACTAGAAATAGCAAATTAATACATGATTAACAATCTGATGACATGAAACAAGGGCTAACACATAAGGAACTGGCAGGCACTGCAGTCAGACTTCTGGCAGGAGACCAGTATCCTTTCATAATTAAGCAGTATTACAACACATGAACAACATACTAAAATTTATTTCCATCTTCCTGCATTCAACATATTAGGAAACCCACTCATATACTCCAGGCATGCTTTCCAGTGTGTAAATGGAAAGGTGAGCATCCTGGGTTCCTCTGGCTTCTGCACAGCTAAGAAAAGGCACAAACTATCCCCATTCATGGTACTGTGTATACATGCCTCTTTGTAATCTTACTGTTGTGTGAGACTGTGAAGACTACATAGTGCTTCCAGGCCCATAAAGTAGCTAAATTAAAAATAAGCAAACATAATACTGAATGCACAAACACATACACACATAAAAGGTGAGATTTAGTGGACTAGTTACCCTCCTGAGCACATTATGGCTCTAACTACTTGCAAGTAACAGGCCTAGAGAATAAATACATATGTTTTTTCTTCTCCTTACTCTGACAATTCCAGCTGGTGCAATTGCAACATTAGACTGAGACGTGGCTGGCGTCAAAATCCCCTCTCTTTTTAAAGGTGCTGGAGTTACAATCACAGCTCTGGACTGTCCTTGAAAGGCAGCTGAAGAACACAATTAAGTTAGAATAGTTAATGAGACAAAAAAAGAAAAATCAAAAAAGCTGGAGATTATTTTGTATGAAATAACTTGTCATGGAACAGGGGAATGGATCAAGGGGCACCTACTTGGTACTATTTCTGATAATCTCAATCCCATTAATCCAGTACAAAGGACTCTTTAAACACACCAGTTATTTCTGAGGCTTCCAATGCCCTTGTTTCAAGGTGAATTTACAGAGGTAGGTAGTAAATCAGGGAGGTGCAAAGTGTCTTCACTCTATCAGAGTTGGGTTTGACAGCAGAAGGATCATCTAACCTCTCACATCAATACTTTTTGGATCTCAGGCTTGCTGACCCAGAAAAGGTCAATAACAGAAACCTACTGAAGGATGTATATTCAGTACTTCATGCTTCCTTGTGTATATATATGTATCAAATTCTTCTCCTCTCTCTGCTAGCTTCTTTCACTCTCTGGTTTTACAGCTGCTTTACATGACACACAAGCATAAGACAACCAAATGTGACTGGGAATCAGCACCAAAATTCCAGCAAATAGGCTAAAGAACCGAGAGTTCTGCAGTGTTAGACAGCTAGAGATAACTCTGAATAGCAGCTATTGTTCTCCACAGAGAAAGTTACAAAAGATTCTCAAAACCAGCCCGTACAGGAGCTTGCCCCCACAACAGGAATCAGGATCCTTGCTCTGAAGTTTTTTCACTACTATAGTACTTGAATCTAACAGAAATCTGTTAAAGTCTCTATTTAACAATTATTACCATGGCATTAATGCTGATGCTGGTCTTACCTCGACTTCAGAGAGAACATGACTAACCATCCTGTACTGTTACTGAGGGAAGAATCATGTGAAGACACAGCTGCTGTATGCTTTTTGAGAAAGCTAAACCAAACTTACTCCATTTCATTCATAGCCTGTATTGGCTTCAGCTCTCCTTTGTACTAATAAAGTCACAGCGGATGAAAAGTGTCACAATACCTCAGTCACTGCAAACCCACCCCTCTGCAGTTCAGCATCAGGATATTGAAGGACACACACAGCAGAAGAGAGAAACAGTACAGGATATCTAATGTCCTCTCTCCTACTGTCCCTGTGACCAACAACTGTGTTTTGGATCAACTGTACAGCCTTTATGACAAAGGCCTGTGGCCAGCACAAACCTTGTGTCAGCCCTTGTGTGGGTACATCTGGCAGAGCACTGCCACTCGGGTACAGGGAGTTCATTCTTTGCCTAAGCGTTCCCACATACAAGGCTGGAATCACAACCCTTCCACTGTTCACTGCTGTTCAGCTGGACTGTTCACATCCCTGCTGAGCTCAAGAGGCTGCTCTCACCAGTGCATTAATGCTGCTGCACAGACTTGGTATTTCTGACTTCCCCACTGGGGTAACTGTAACAATCAGCACCTATTTAGATGCCCCTTTACATTTTTCATGTTTCTATCCTACACGTGCATCTTTTGTGGACTTTCCTCTCAAAACTACAATGCTCATCCTGAAGTGGTGAGATCAGAGCTCTTTCCCATGTGAAGTTTTGCACCTGGTGAGACAATCCATGCACATTTTTGGGTCCTTGTATCACAGGGCAGTAAATGTTACACACCTCTTTCTAACAAGCCAGGTTATAATGCAATTTGCTTTGTAGTCTTGAGATGATTTGTTTGTCCTGAACGCAAGTGACAGGTGTAAATGCCCCAATTACATGCACTGAAGTTTATTCTATTTCCAAAAATAAAGCTCCAGTCCTTAGATAAACCCTTGGATTTGACCTCTGAGCTTGGTGTCCCAGTAGTTTAGAAGCACTGTGATCCCTGAACACATGCCACTACCAGGAATGAGTAACAGCAACAACCTTAAATCTAGATGAGAATCAAAGCCATTTGTTTCTCATCCAGATATACAACATTTGTTGTGTTGACCTAGATGCAACTGACAAAGCACTGGGGAAGGAACAACCCAGGAAGCACTAAGAAGGCCAGGAGCAAAGGCTTTCCTAAATGAGAGCTGCCTACAATGCTTTACTAGGTGAGAAATGCATGTCTTGACTGCTGAAGGTACATGGACTCTTGCTTTATAATGTACTAAAGACAGAAACACTGCCATTAACACCCCAGTGCTATTAATCATGGACCAACCCAGTCAGATGCTAGAATTAGATCCTTGGGTCTGTTCTACTCCTAAACAGTGGCTTTTTGGGGGGGGTGTGGGTTGTTTGGTTTGGATGTTTGGGGTTTTTTTTTGGTGGGTAACCCCATTGCCAGGCCCTGGCAGACACAGCTACTCCTTAGTGAAGCCTGTTGAGCAACACTCCTCCAGGCAGGGTTTTTCTCGCATTATGGTTGCACGTTTCAAGTGGCTGAAGTCACTTGGCCCCCAGCCAGCACAAGTGTGCAACAACGCCAAGAAAAGTGTACTGCCTGTTCTGCTCTAGCCTCAGCTTTCCCACAAGAACCACCACAAGCAACTCCCTCTGCTCATATTTGCTGTTCTTAGCTTTGTGCAGTGCTAATGGCTCCAAATCACACCCAGTGTGGAGGTCCCACGTACCAGTTTGGCACTCACGCTCTGAACTGAAAATCATGTGCTCCTGAGAGCTTCTCAAACCTGTAGATTGCTTGAGACAAAGATCTCCAGCTCACCCTACCTGTCCCAAGTCCTTCCCCACTGGAAGGGCTGATCCTCATCACCCCAGTAATGCTAGGGAGTGCTGATGGTGGATGAGAGGCACACTCCCATGCTTTCATCTGGATCAATGCTGTGCTCTACTGCAATAGCTGCTCCCTTGTCAATGCTGTACTCTGTGTAAAGAAGCATCAGGCACACCTAAGATGAACGTCAGAATACATCCTAAGGACTTCCAAAGGATGTGCACTGGTACCTGGGATTACAAAGTGAGATGATGCACAGCAGGCACAGGAACCTGTCCAGGGCAACCAGATAAGTCAATGACAAGGACAGATTTGCCTTTCTCCATCCATACTTCCTCCTCCTTCCATCTCCTACCCTACTGTGGATGAATGCTTCGAGGGGCTGAGTTAATCAGAACAGCACTGAACATCAAACCCGAGGTTTCTATGGGGCAGGAGCACAGAGCTCTAGTCATCCCATGTGCTGATGCATCTGTACAGCCCAACACAAGTTTTACAAGGAGAAACCCCCTTTTACAGGTCAGCTTTTCACACTCACAACCAAACTGCTTCCAGCCCTTGCAGCAGGCCAGAGCATCCCATTGAACAATGTAGCCACACACCAGTGGGTTCAGGGGTTCTGTGGACACCCTCAGGAAGCTGCACGTTTACTTACTATGTAAACCAAGAAAAGCAAGAAGGTCTCTCCCTCCTGCAACTCCCACTCAGAAAAGTAAAACATCACCCACCAGAGCTTCTCACCTGGGGTGATGAAGGCATTCTTTAACAATAAGGACACATTTTCAGGCTTCGGAGCAGGCACTATTTTTGACTGTTTGGGCCTTGTCCCAGCACTGGTCAGAGGAACAGCTTTGAGGAGTGCAAATGTCATTTGGGATTGCAGCTGGGGCCAGGGCTGCCCCTGCAGGACAGCAGTCTGGAAAGCCATGTTGCAAGGCACTCCTGCACCCGGCTGCTGCGTGGCCAGGAGAAGGTTCTGGCTCTGGCTGAAGGTGGTGGCAGGGGCGTTGTGGGTCAGCGTTGCAGAAGCTGTGTGGGTGATAACTGTATTCTCACAGAGGCCAAACTTCTGGGTTTCTGGTGCAGCAAATGGAGCTGGTGGAGAGCTTAAGCTGGAATTCAGAGGCACTGCAGGCAACGGGGACTGGTGCTGTTGCGTTGCAGGCTGAAGCAGTGGCAGCGGTGTCTGAAACACTGGCATAAAAGTCTGTTGCCCGCTGAGAGACGAGTCGGGAGTGTAGTCTGCTGGCTGGATGAAAGATCCCTCGCTTTTAATGTTGGCACACTGGTCAGTGCCAACATCAGGAATGACAGGAGCAGGTACTGAGGAAGTAATGAGTCCATCACTGATGTTCCCTGCTGGAAGCGTGTTGGGCAATGAACCCGACGGCAGGACAGGAGACTGACAGCAAAGAGAAATATAACAGATTCAGACATGACCCCTGAAACTCTTGTCTGAACTCCTTCTGAGAAGGACACGGCTCACACACGAGAGTCTTCAGAGCATGTAACTGTCTGAGACAAGGCTGCTTTAAGCACTGAGAACCTATCTTACCTGGGAAGAATGGCTGCTACTGTCTGTGGTAGCTGAGCTCACAGCAGACACAGAAGGGAAATAATTACTGGAACGACTGGGTGTGAATAAATCTGAAATGTCAAAAGTCACCTATTAATTTTCTAGTTTACTCAAGGTACAGTATTGCTACATACTAAAATTCACAGGAATATCAATATTAGTTCACAAACAATGAAACCATGAGATTTTTGCTTCATACAACTGCTGCTGACTGAGCAATGAATTATTGACTTCCAGAGGAACTGATCTCTTCAGGGCAGACTTCATCAACTTTCATGCAAGCTGAGGACAGTAAAGGCATCAGTCCACTGTTTAAGGTTCGGCTACACACAGATAAGCAAGAGCTGATGCTCAGTGCAGCCCCACACAATTCAGGTAGCTGATGCAGACTGCACACAGCAAACTTCCATCAAGATCCATGACCACCAAAGTTGTCAGCAGTAGTTTAATGTCACACATAATTCTTAAAGTACCAAAAAATGTTCCAAGGGAAATAAAGTGTTAAATCACTTCATCACTAAGAAGTGTTAAATGTTAAAAACTACTTCACAACTCACTGCATTTTTAAAGAAATGAATTGATATGTGTGATTCTTACCCTGAAAAGGCTCAAAAGTATCCATAAAATCAAAGTTTGGCTGGAGAGGTATAAGCCCTGGTTGAATCATGTCAGCATTTCCTAAGTGTGCTGCAAAATTGAGGAGACAGATTAGATAAGCTTCACATCACTCACACAGTAACAGCAGCAAACAGTTGGCTACCCCACCACCACACACTCCACAGCCAGGCTTGGCCAGGGTGCTGCCAGAAAAACTGCTGCTGAAATGAACTGAGCATCTGCTTTTCTTCACAACTACAGCACAGTTCTGAGATCAAACCCACGGGGAAATGAAACTTTCAACTAAGTAAAATGGAAGAGGTGAAACCTGAAGGCTCTAACAACTGGAGATTGCCAAGCTTGGATACTTCCCGATCCCAAACCTCTTGTCCTGCCCCTGCTGCACAATACATGAACTTGCTGGGAAGCACAACCTGAACCACCACTGCTCACAGAAGAGGACTTTAAAAATAAACCATCATCCATTTAATTTTGTCTCAAGTACACTTCATATCATATCATAGAACAGTTTGGGTTGAAGGGACCTTAAAGCTCCTCCAGCTCCAACCCCTGCCCCGGGCAGGGACACCTTCCACTAGAGCAGGTTGCTCCAAGCCCCTGTGTCCAACCTGCCCTTGAACACTGCCAGGGACGGAGCAGGCACAGCTTCTCTGGGCAACCTGTGCAGGGAAGAGCTTCTGCCTCAGAGCTCATCTCAATCTCCCCTCTGGCAGGTTAAAGCCATTCCCCTTGTCCTGTCCCTACAGGCCCTTGCCCAAAGCTCCTCTCCAGGTTTCCTGAAGCCCCTTTAAGCACTGGAAGTTGCTCTAAGGTGTCCCCTTCAGGAGCCTTCTCTTCTCCAGCTGCCCCAGCCCAGCTCTCTCAGCCTGGCTCCAGAGCAGAGCTGCTCCAGCCCTCGCAGCAGCTCCGTGCCCTCCCCTGGACTCACTCCAGCAGCTCCACATCCCTCTCGTGCTGGGGGCCGCAGAGCTGGAGGCAGTGGTCCAGATGGGGTGTCACAAGAGCAGTAAACCACATGTGAACTCCATGTAAACCACTGCTGCTCTGGAGTTGCTCAGACATCCATGCAGCAAGGATGATGCATAGTGGACACCTGCCTTCCCATCACACTCAGAGCCATCAGACAGACAGCATTCAACAGAGCTCTTGGGACTGGTTTTACAGATGTGACTTGCACTTGTTCTAAGGGACACATCTGAAGAAAACCACATAGGCACTCCCTTAAATACACACAAAAAGTATACATACTTCAAAATACATAACAAAGCCTTCACCCCTGATAAAAGTAAATACTGCTTATTATAGATTTATTCCGAGCAACTTTGCCAGGAGCAGCACATAAGAAGCTAAGATAGAAATTAAATTTGGATGAACAACTGGGATTCCATAACCTAAAAAGCATAAGACAGCTGCATTCTCTGACCTATTTTTATCAGCAAAGTAAGATAAACTTCCTAGGCAAGACTAGAAGAGCAGCAAACCAGCCTTCCCAGTGTCCCCACTGCAATGTAGCTAACAGCCAACACATACCTATGTCCCTGGAATTTGGCCAGGAAACCAGCTGATGTGAAGACAATGTGGAGAACAGTGTGTCAGTGAACTCGGACATGAGCATATCTGCATCCAAGAGGCTGTCTTCTTCCATAGGGACAGGGGTTTCTCTGCCATACCTTCTTTTTTGCCAGAGAACCACATCATCATCCTGCCAAAGGAAGGGAAGAAAAAATCAGGCTGCCCAGACAACACTAGAGCAGTCTGGTCTGCTATGTAAGAACAGCCTTCATTTTTCGTATTTCTAGAGAAAGAAATTGTCCTTTAGGAGCCACACAAAGGGACTGAAACCCATCAATGGTACTTTTAATACACCAACTTCAGCTCACTGGTTTGGACATCAACAGAAAGCTTCAGTGGAATACCACGACACTCTGGGAAAGGTTTTGCCCCAAAACCAGATGTTGAGTAGAAGGATGTAAGACAAAAAAGTGTCATTAACACCTTGTAGTTTCATTGAACATACACATATTTTTGCACCTAAAGTTTAACAATCCCTTGGTTTGAATAAAGATTTTAAAGTAACACGTACAGCAAAAACTCAAAGCAAACAACTCCTATCTTGAAGTGTATCTGAATCTCAGATATGTAGGTAGGTGTAACTGTAATCTGACTTTGCACAAGATATGCTGAGATTCTTGTGGGTGCTTTCAGCCCAGGCAAAATACAATGTAATGTGACTTGGCTTACCTGTCCTTCACTACAGGCCAAGCCAAATTGCATTGCCTTGCATTTGCTGCAAACTAAAAGCACACATAGTCAGGTTTTTGTGGCTGAGCAAACAGGCAGTGGTAACTACACCAACAGACTATGATGGTGCATTGGAGCTCACAGCCAAAAGAGCTGAGAGTTTTGTGAACTGAAGCAGATCCAGACTTATGCTTAGCTCCAAAAACCACCCCCAGCATCAGAACAGTACTTCTGATCATCAGTTTATACGCACCAAGTAGGTTTGATTACTTCAGGAGGTACATTAGATGATAGTACCATTAGATAGTACCATTGTTCCTTGAAACATTTTGCCTTTTTTAGGATCCTGGCACATTATGTGCCCATGTTGTGGGCAGCAGGAAGATCTGCAACATGGAGCACACAAATCTTACCAGCTCCAGTTACACTAACACGGCAGTAGTGCCAGTCACAATTCAGTAATGAGATGAAATAATGTGCCAGCCCTCAAGCAGACTGATCTTTCTGGACACCCAATACTGATTGTCATCTCTTCTGTCAAAGCACTTTACATTCAACCTCTCCCCCATCCAATTGAAGTTACAAATCTTACATTGCTCTCTGCAGCAAGCATTGAGGCTTCCAATCTTAATTAAGGCTGAAGCAAGATGCTTGTCTTCAGATTTTAATCAATGCAAGCTACTGCATGTTACAGCTCTGTTACATACTGCAGCTTCTACCAGCTCAAATGCTGCCACTTATCAGAGGTATTACCTACCCTGACCAAACTTGAAAGATCTTCATCTTTATGTTTCTGTAACTGCAAAAGGAGAACAAAACAGATGTTAAAGTCAGAATAGGTCCTGCATGTGCCAGTAGAAGTCCTGATTTTACTAAACTTTCAAGACCCAGTCATGCACAGTAAGTCCCCACACAATAATGTTTAGTTAAGTGGGACTCGTCAGTGAGTGTGCCTGTAGTAGCTTATCAGCTATTTTAAGTATTCTTGCATGCTGGCAAAAGGGACATCAAAACTCAAAAAGCAACCACACACTGATCAAGTTCAAGTAAGCTACTTCCACTGTGTAAACCAACAGACCCTTTTCTTGAAGTACGTTCTCCACTTGTGGTATTCCCTGATGACTATTTCAATTCTTCGTTTCCAGTACTTCCCTTCTGTTGCAATGGCCTGAGAGCACAAAACACATACCAGGAATTACATGGAATCACATACCAGCTGAACAGTCAGTACAGTTCCAAGCAAATATTCAGGCATAAAAGATGCAAAAGAAACATGCTAATTCTGTTTGAGCTCATGTATCAGCAGCCCACACTGTCCCAGAGGTCAGTTATCACAGGCACATCTGACAGTACTAACTTTATCTTTCCCACAATCAACAAACAAGGGATGATGTCTGACTGCACCGTCAGCATCTCCCACATCAGCTCAACCATAACCAATAGCTAAGACACGGCAAAAAAGCAAAACAAAGCAAATTAAAACGAACTTACTCAAGTGCAATGTACAAAGCAAAATACAATACCCTGTTCCCCAGGAAAGAGGCAAACAGAATTTCCCAAGGCCTCCCGAACAGGCACACACGTAAACAAAAGCTCTTTAGAACGACACAAAGCAACAGAAATCTGATGTCCAGCCCAGGAGTGCCTTTGCATACCACATGTTAGTAGCAACAAAAGGATCAGAACAGTGTGGGGGTTTAATGTATCACAGATAGGAGTGTGTAAGTTGGGGACAGCAGAGTAACGAGAGCCTTAACACAACCTTCTTGTCTTCGGGAGCCATCTGCCAACACAAACATCAACACTGTTCTTTCAAAAACCTGAGACCATTCTACAAACTCATCTGGAATTCCTTTGAGTTATAAATTATTCTGGAGTATAGAACCACATACTGCCCCAACGAGGGCCTCACTGGTTTTCTGCACAGAGCCAGAGGGCAGACATTAGTTTTCATTTATGTTTAAAGAGCACAAAAATGAAAGTGCACAGGCTCGTATTTGCTCTTTTTGTCAAGTTACCTTGACAGAGAAAGAAACAATTGCTTGTTGTCTGGAAAGCACACCTTAACAATTGAATAAAATACAGAAACCTCTCACAGGGTCACTTAGATTCAATCCTGAAGATGTGATATTCGTAACTGATTTCCCACTGACTTCAGCTATCTCCAGCCAGAAGAGAGCAGAGGCTGTCAAAATCTTAACTAGTCAAACTGCACTTCTCCACCTTCCCAGGGGAGGTTTAGACTGGATATTAGGAAACAGCTCTTCACGGACAGGGTGCTCAGGCACTAGAACAGGCTGCCCAGGGCAGTGCTGGAGTCACTATCCCTAGAAGTGTTCACAAACCATATAGACAAGGCCCCCAGTGACATGGGTTAGTGGTGGCCTTGGCAGTGCTGGCGAACAGTTGGACTTGATGATCTAAGTCTTTTCCAACCTGGTTGATTCTATGTTTCACTAAACTAAAACATCAACATAAGTTATGTAGATAATAAATGTCCTTTCAATTGCACCTTGATCATCTCAACCTGATAAACTTGTAACAATGGGTTCAGTCTGCTTTACATTAATGGTTCCTTCTGAATAAAGACAGCAGAGCAAAGAATTGCCATGCTGCTCTCGTGTCTAGCAGATCTTGTTGTAAACCCCGGAGCTCATGGGGCTGTCCCTCAGGCTTTACACACCTCTGGCCGGCGATGTTCATCCACATCCACGGAGCCGTCCAGCGGAGTCACAAAGTGGCACACGGGATTCTTGCGCTTCTCCAGGTCTGAAACAAGCATGAAAGTGCATATGCTCAGCACGTGCAGCTCGGCAGAGAGCTCTGTCACTTCACCAGCAGGAGGTGGGAACCCCCCCCAACATCTAGCCAGGGTTCCTTCCAGATAACCCACAGGAAACAGAGAGATCTCAGGCTGTGCTCGGCCTGCTCAGTGCAGCCTCTGTGTGGACATGCCTACAAAAGCACGGATCCAATGGCACTGCCACAACAGCCTCTGAGACACCATATCTGCCTTCAGCAGATTCTTTAGCTTTCCATTAAACAGGGATTTCAATTCTCTTGCTTTCTTACATATGTCTCTGAAAGTCTTTCCTAGCAAGCAATAAAGGGAGCACCACACTTACACTGCATGTACCATGCCCTCCAGATGGCGTTGTTGAGACGGATTTTATCTCTCCACTGCAGTTTTAAGCCTTTAAAATTCTTCCATTTCGGTGAAACCAGCTTTCCACTGAAACGAAACAAACACCACATCATCCTGCTTTCGGGTTTGCTCTTCGACACAACAAAGCACCCCGTGAAAACTCCCAAACTGTCAAAGGAAACCTTACACCGCACCACTCTTGGCCAGTGACAGCTTTGCCACGCACTGTCCATGGCTGTCACAAATGGTGACACAAGTATCTTAAGAAACTCATTTCACCCACACTTTTCTCCTGGCCAGTACCCCACCTTCTCAAATGCCAGCCTATAAGCTTCCATCAACTGGGAACAACACTGCCCAAAACTAAGCCCAAACTCAGGCCTAGGGGGTTTTGCACATCTGGCTGCATGTAGTTTTGGCTTGGATTTTGCTGGGGAGTGGGATGAAGTCAACAAAAGTTGATTTCATCAGTTCCATTCGATTTTCCAGGCTGGTAACAGTGGAAAGGAAGAACGAAATGGCAGTTCTGGCTCAACAAAAACCATCACGCACCAATTCTACAATGCTGGTAAACAGAGCTGGGCACACAGGATCACCAACAGGCTGGAAATAGCAACTTTTCTCCAAGGAAAAGAAAAGCTGGAAAGAGAAATAGTTTAAGTATGAACAATGTTGGGAGGTGGGAGATGGACAGAAAATGGCAACAGCAACAGGGCCTCCAGTAAGCACTGTATAAACACAAACTACCCAGGCCTTAGAACACACCTTTATGAATCATTAATCCATATTACTGACAGAGCAGAGGAAGTAGGAAATATCCATAACATCATAAATTTCAAGCCACACATTAAAGTATAGGTATTGTGCCTATCCCAGGTTCCCTCTTGGTTTTGTAGGTTTAGCTATAGGTCTTCCTAGTTCACATCTCCTCATGCTGTTTGTGCATCCTTGCAACAATGGAAGCAATACAAATACCAGCAATACAAAGCACAATCAACACCAAAGGCAAAGGCAACACGAGCATCAGGTCGAGGTTAAGGTCTTCTGTACTCAAGAGCACACAAAAGAGCGACAGGAGCAATGTCACCTCCTAACACTTTGACCTCCTGGAAAAGATCACCCAACACCCAGTTGACTGGGAGCGACTTGGATCATGAATTCCAGCGGCACAAGAGCGACATGCACTAGATCTGGCTGTGCCAGGGCACTGTGTATTTGCTATCACACATCCAGTACAAGTGAACCCAAAGAGCTGAACTGTTCTTCCTTTAAAATCCTTGGTTTACACTTAAGCTCTAAAACCACAGTGAGAATAAGCAGCACATCCCTGCAGAAGTGCCAGGCATTTCCCTTGGCTTGCCCAAGACAGGCAGAGGCCTGAAGCTGAAGAACTGCTGATTCCCAGTTTCCTGCTTGGTCTGGGATACCTGACAGCAGCTCTTTTTAAAGAAAACTCGTAATAAACCTTGTAATACTATAAACAAGTAAAAAGTCCTCACAGCCTACACAAAGACACCAGGATGCCAGAGCTGCCAAAAGTAGGATACTAAACTACCACTTCCTTCAAGGATTTGGGCTCATTGTTCCTTTCTCCCCTGCTAGCACCACTGCTGCTGTTACCACTCAGGTATTCCCAGAACTGTGACAGTAACAGATGGGCAAATGCCAGACCTCAGCCAAGTACCAGGTAAAGAAAAGCCAGTTCTGCTCTTTCACTTTTACTACTGCGTATACTACCAGTTGTAGCAACAGATTAAACCACCATCAGGTGAGCTGCTGCCTGATGATATAAAGATTCCCAGAATCTCATCTGGATGTTTCAAGGCTCTTTCAGTTTATGGGAAGATCTCCAAATGAAGTATTTTACCTCACTGTTCCCCAGGTGCTGAGGTCAGAGCAGACAGTGGATCTCCACCTGCAAAGCATCTCATCACCTTCCTGACAAGACGAGTAATAACAGACTCCAAACAACCCTGTAAGAGTTATAACTGAAGACTTTTACTAGGATCACTCAATCCAATATATATCATCAAGCCCTATCATCATGCACCTTAAGTGTAGCTAATTGGTTATATTTACTGTCCACATGCCCTAAGTTAATACATAATTGGTTGGCTGGCAATACCACGCTTCCTGGTTATCACAATTGTCCATCCTGTTGTTGTTCTTGCTCCATCACTTATTTTCCTCAAGTGTCCTTGGATGCATCCCAGTGTCCTTGGATGCATTCCAGAGTTGGGCCTACGTGACTTCGGCCAAGCACACGGCTCTTGCTGAGTCTTGCATGGGGCCTACTCCATTTCTATAAGCGTGCCCATTTTCCTCTAGAAAAGATCCCACACCTTCCCTGCTCTGCCTCTAAACCATCACATACTTTGTCTTATCATCCCTTCTAAACCCAGATTAAAGCACACCTTTTCCTGTTTCTCATATGTACATTAACAGTTCAGAGACACGAGATTAACATGTTGATGCATCACCAATGCTGACAAAATGCCCGCATGCCTTTGGCTAAGAAGTTCAGCTTAATGTTCATCTCTTCATGGCTCTGTGTTAATGCCCAGTTTGCCAAAGCAACAAAACAAACAGTCTCCACTCAGAATATAAAGGACAAACCTAAAAGGAATTGTAATGAATTCTTGTAGGCTCCTTCAAACAGCCAATTAAAAGTGGAATTAAACCACAAATAGTTTAAAACATTTTCTATTACATTCTTACAAAAAGCTAAACAAAAGTAGCCCATCAAAAGAAGGAAGTGATTAAGAACCTAGTCTTAAAATAATTATTATTTTTAGTTCCCATGGGAGCAAAGCACAAGTCCAGCTTGAGGTCAGAAGTGAAATGACTTTAGCCTCAGTGGAGAGGAATCAGCACGAAGCTGACAATATTTAGACACTATTCCAAATTCCAAAGTCAATCACTTTGAACAACTGTGCCTGACAGCAGCTACAAACTGAAACCCAGCTTTGGATTTTAAAGCAGCAAAACAACAACAGGGAAAAACCCACACACATGGAGAGACCCACTGGCTGCTGCTCCCTGTCTCCTAAGACCACACTGACTCCTACCAGAAATGCAGAGCAACTTGCTGACCACAGTGAGCTGGTCACAATGTACTTGTGAGCATGTGAGTGCACACACAGTCCTGGCTCTGCCCACAACAGCTGCTGCTACTCTGCAGGAGGGCTGGTTCCAAAGGCAGCAGGAAGGGAGCATCCCACAGAAGCCTTGGGCCAAATACTGCATGGTAGAAGCTGGGACAGCTGCATCCACACTGACCAGCAGCATGGTCTAGAGGGTACTGGTGCTGCACACAGTGCCCAAGGAAAGGAATGAGACTCTCAGTTGCATTGTGCAGGGCTGTTGCTACCAGATGCACAGCCTGTGCTACGCAGGATGTGCTGGCTCAATGCTGGAGGAATATGTGACTTTTATATCTTCATCACTATCAAACGCAGATCACATCAAAGTGGCTGAAAACCGTCTGGTGGATAACGTGCAGTACATTCCAGCAGCTCAGTTCAGTCTCCTATGTAGAAATCTCCACCTTCTGAGACCAAATGTCCTCAAGTGATTTGTTCACAGCAAACCAACTAAAAAAGCTTCAGCTGAAGAGTCAACAGAGCTGGAATTCCCCTTGGACACAGAGGCCCTGATGTGCTTTGGAGGAGTCACAGTGTTTTTAGAACAGAAGCTGCTGACAATCCAGGCTGCCAATTCCATATGCTCCAGCTTTCACCTCAGAGTCCTGGATATGGCAAGAGAGGCTGGCGTCCATTCCCAAGTTTTTTTACATACTTTTTCCCAGTTCAGGAACTACCTCAGGCAACGGAGATCCCAGCAGGCAGACAGACAACACAGCCCTGATCTGTCAAAGCAACACAATTCTCTCCACTGTTAGAATTCCAGTAAAGCAGCTGTGGTTTAAAAGCAGTCACAAACCTTCAAACATCACAAGATGTGCAGTGAAGTACAAGAAACAGCCATCCACTGTGAGAGGACAACCGGATTCCTTTAAACACACGTGATTTTCAATCAACTGAAAGGTCATTAGGGCAGAAGTAGGTATTCTAACATGGTGAAAAAAAGATTTTACCCTGGTAATGTCCATCTTTATGCAAAGTTTAACATCTGAGAATCTAATTTTCATCTCTGTTAATAACACCCAGTTAATGAATGATCTTACTGGATATTTTAGCAATGCTTTTGACTCAGTAGGGACAAGGCAAATGGGTGACCTTCTTCCTTAACAGGCACAGGGCACACGAGATGCCATTCACAGCTGTTAGGATGACTTCAATTTTAAACCAATAGCTCTCTATAACATTGAAAAACCACTGCCAACATCTGTAGTGGCATGATCAAGCTCTGATATGACTCAGAACAGAAGAACCCCCTGTTCTCCTCCCTTAAATGAGAGGATTTTAAGATGGACTTCAGTCAGCACAGAAGCACATGACACAACCACCCTCTGGATTTGGACAGAAAAGGACATTTATCTGTGTGCAAACCCAGAAGTTTGGTTGGTTTCTTTCTTCATTACTAACTAGCATTAAGGAACACCAGCACTGGTGGAAACACTGATTTCTACAAGAGCACTGAAGGGGCAGAGAAGGAGAGTTTTAAATATTAAGAGAAATGCCACCCAAAACAAGACAATCTCAGCTGGTTTGTCTGGTAGCCTTTATAACCCCCATTTAATAGGTGGTTTGAATGGAAACTGTAGAGTATAGTATGGTAGAACTTAGTTTAATAAAGCATCTGAGCTTTGTAAGGAAACGTGTTTCTGATTCAACTTCAGTTCTCCAGTTTTTACTTACCTCAGAAACAGTCTAAACTGCACCATAGCATTCTCTTTCAAATCCTTTTCTAATAGGAGACAATAGGGAAGACTTTGCTGTAAGCATAAGTCTGAAAAACCCCCTTCCCCCATTCAGAACCAAATATTAAGTTCATTCTCCACACCACGACGTGTCAATGCTGCTGAACAAGGCATTTCAGCTGGCAAGCTATCTTGCAACTGTTGTGAACTAAACGCTGCACAAAAGAAGAGGTCTTTAAAATACTCTGTGAGGGAAGAAATTCATGATCTCCTGCTTGACAATAAGGAACAGTGAGACTGACTGATATGCTCATGACTATGAAGTGTGTGAGTGACAGCACTAGAAGTGGGACACAGTTTTTTGACACGCCGCCATACACCGCACGTAAACTCCTCATTTCCACCCTCCTC